ACAGTCCATGGTAGTTTTAATAATCTTCTCCAACACCATAAATCAATGCATCAGTTTTTCTATGACCTACTATGGTCACATACATATGAGGTTATTGAAAATACTATGGCTTGGGACAGGAGCATGGTAGTCTTCAAACTGACATCTTTGCTTTTAAACACTTTAAAGAAGTCTTGTGCAGCAGATTTGGTTATGCATTATGTTGTTTGATATCTTGACTGCTGCTTTCGTGAGTGTTGCTGGTCTACCAAAAAAAATGAAGTCAAAGACAACTTCAATCTTTAATCCATTTATTTTGATATTATTTACTGGCCCAGTGGTGAAAAATTTTGTTTTTATACATTTGACTTGCATCACATACTGAAGGCTGTGGTCTTTGATATTCATTAGTAACTTTTAAGTCTACTTCACTTACAGAAAGCAAGGTTGTAACATTTGCGTATCACAGGTTTTTAATGAGTCTTCCTCTAATCAAGGCCTATGTTCTTTTTCATATAATCCACTATCTCACATTGTTTGCTCAGCATAGAGATTGAATAAATATGGTGAAAAAAATACAACCCTGGTGAACAGGTTTCCTGATTTTAAACCATTCAATGTCCCTTTGTTTTGTTCGAAAGCTTGCCTCTTGTACAAGCTCCTCCTGAGCACAATTAAGTGTCTCTGGAATACTCATTCTTCTTAATGCTACTCATGTCTTGTCATGATCTGCAGTTGAAAGTCTTTGTATAGTCAGTAAAGCCCACATGAACATCTTTCTGGTTTCCCTGCTTTCAGTCAAGATCCATTTGACAGCAACAATGATATCCTTCATTCCACATCTTCATTTAAATCCTGCTTAAACTTCTGAGAGTTTCCTGCTGAAGGCCATGTTTGACTGATCTTATCCAAAAATTTACATCCATGTAATATTAATGCCATTGTCTGCTGATTTCCACATTCTGTTGTCAAATCTCTTTGGAATTGGCACTAATATGGATCTTTTCTAATCAATTAGCTTTGTAACTGTCTTCCATATTTCTTGGCAGAGATGAGTGAGTGCTCCAGTGCTGCATCAGTTTGTTGAAAGATTTCAAATTGTATTTCCTCAATTCCTGTATCCTTGTTCTTTGCAAATGCCTTCAATAAACCTTGTACCTCTTCATTGGCACTTGATCATATGCTACCTCTTGAAATGGGAAAACCTTACTAGATGAAATACACAGAGTTCCAATTATAACATATGTGGAATGAAATGGTGGCACAGCTTGATATCTTCTGTCAAAACAAGGTCAGGGAGAGACTGTGGAAGTCTATCACTTGCTCATATGCAAATTGAGTCTGAAGCTGCTTATATGCAAGTTCAGGTTAAAGCTGAAGAAAATTAAAACAAGTTCATAAGAACCCAATTAAGACTTTGAATATATCCTACCTGAATTTAAAGATAATCTCAAGAGCAGATTTGATACTTTGGGCATTAATGAGAGAAGACCAGAGAGTTGTGGGATGACGTAAAAAGATCATACAGAAAGAAAGCAAAAGATCATTAAGACAACAAGAAAGAAGTGTCCATCAATGGAAGAGTGGATAAACAAACTTTGATACGTGCACACAATGCTATCTTGAAGAATAACAATGAAGCTTCAAAAACACCTGAAAATATGAATGAACCTTAAGGACATCATGCTGAGTGAAAATAGCCACAAAAGAACAAATATTGCATAAGACCATTGTTGTAAAAGCTTAAGTAAAGATTTCTAAGCTAAAAGAAAAATTCTTTGATGGTTTCCAGGGGTAGTAGGGATGGGTTAGTAATTCACAGGTTAGGTGGTTGATGCATGAAAGCTTGGGTGATGGGGAGAGCAATATACTAGAAGGGGAAGGACAATACAGAAGATACCAGAGGGGTAGATGAACCAGGAAATCAGAAAATAATTAAGGAGGTATGCATGGGGTAAATGGGATAGAGGCAATTCGAGATGTATACATAACATTGGAACAAGAAGTCTCTGTGATACAAGGATCCAAACATAGTCAGAATGGTAAAGGATGGGAAATAATGTTAAGGTACTTGATTGTCTTGTGGATGTTGGTTTCCCTAGCTCGTATTGTAAAATAGACATTTAGGTGTTACAGAATAGAAAATTGGGACATATGATTATACAAAGCATGCATGCCTTTCTTCAGCCTGTATTGACTGGATTAGTTCAAAGGGGAATTAGAATATTCCCAGAGAAATAAACTTCTAGTTAAAACTTTCTGGAGTATAAGTCCATACGTGTAATCCTGAGACCCAGTGAATACTTATTGAGGTGGGACATACCCACTTGGAAAGACATGAAGACCAACCTGGAACAGCTAGAGGAACATAATACATTTCTTGAAAGAATGTTGCACAGGAAAAAAAGCAGGCTGTTTGGCTGTTAGAATATGAACAAACTGTTTGCCTTGGAACTATCAAGGCAAGAAGGGTCAGCCATTTGTATTAAACCCCCTTTTTAAGACTGAAACTCCAAGGCAACACATGAGGAGTCTTGTTTACTCATTGGTGACCACCCTGATGTACTTGTGAGTGAAAGTGAAGGAAATGCAACAAAGAAGAAATGGACTGAATGTTCCATAGACATTCATTGACTTGAAAGGAGAGAGAGAAAAAAAGAGCTGGCTTGTCTGAAGTTTAGGAAGGCATGTGAATTCCCAAGTACATGGACACTGACCTAGACCCTGGAGGTTAGAGCTGAGAGTGAAGTGATGGGCTTGTGGGAAGTTTTGGTAGGTCTACAAGAAAGAGCAGTTGAAGGCAGGAGGCTGTATGTCAAAATGTGCCCTTCGGACATTTAAATCAATATACAATTTTCTGTTTTGTATGTATATATCAAAAAAACTGAGATGGGTATATAGGTAAATATTGCTAGTGGATGGTACATACATGAGAATGTAATCATTGCAATGAAACAAAGTATGATTTAATAAATATAAAACTAATAATCTGCCCTATGAATATTCACTCAAGCCATAATAGAAACAAAAATAAAAAGAAAATGATATCAGAAGAAACTCTGAAACTTCCTCTCACCCAGAGTTTATAAAGAAAATCGAAGAAAGACTGGAAACAAAACACTATCCAGAAATATAGTATCAGTTGAACCAATTTAACTCTACTACTCACCTCGTGTGGCACTATGAGTTAATGTGCAAGGCTGCAAAGCCGGTTTGAACAGCAAGGTTGATGGTTCAAGCTCCTTGGAAGCCCTATACAGGGTCGCTGTGGGTCAGAAATGACTCCACAGCACTTAACAACAACAACTAACCAGTTGACAGTACTTAAAGCAGGTTAGTTGCTTCACCTTTGTTTGCTCATCTGTATCATGCTTATGATAATAAATGTTACAATTTAGGACTTTAAATTATTTTTGTAAGAATCTGTGATGTAACAAATATGAAGGAGAATATGTATATTGATTTCACTTTTATTGTTACTATTTTTATTTTATGTTGCTCTTGTTGTGTGCTGTTGAATGGATTCCAAATCAGCAACCCCAGGCAGTGATTAGAACTTCTACAGAGGGTTTTTCAGGTTGAAATCTTTATGGGAGGAAATCACCAGGTTTTTTCTTCTGTGGCGTTCATGGGAAGTGTGCACCTTGGACCTTATCAGGACTCCATTTTTCTCTTATTGTTACTGTTGTGTGCTGTGGAGTCTGTTCTGACTCATAATGACCTGGTATAGAGTTTCTGAGAGTCACCCTTAAGTTTGAACTGCTGATCTTATAGTTATCAATTCAATGCTTATTTTAGAGCATCACACCAGGGCTCTATTATGAAATATCCTATAATAAAACAATGACTGTTAGTCAGTCTTTACAGACTAACTTTCCTCCCATAAAGATTTCAACCTGAAAAACCCTCTGTAGAAGTTCTAATCACTGCCTGGGGTTGCTGATTTGGAATCCATTCAACAGCACACAACAAGAGCAACATAAAATAAAAATTGTCTTACTCAGTCTTATTCAAGTGTTATTATGTGCCTACTTTATTGAGTTGTCACAAAATAAACACACCTGGGGTATAATGGTTAGGTGTTGAATTGCTAACCAATAATCACCAGTTGGAATCTAAAAGCCACTCTGAGGGAGAAAGATGAGGTATTTTGCTCCTGTTAATATTTATAACCTTGGAAACCCAATATAGGTTCACTATGAGTCAGAACCAACTCCATGACACATCACCATCACCATATTGGTTTTAAGTAATTAAAAATGGATTGAGAAAACTAATAATAAAAATATCAAACCCAAACCCCAAGCGATGCCATCAAATCAATTTCAAGTCATTGTGAGCCTGTAGAACAGAGTAGAAAGTCTCTACAGAGTTTTGGAGCCTGAAAATCTTTGTGAAAGCGATTCTTTCATCTATTCCTCAGGAGAGGTTTTTTGTTTAGAACCTACAAACTTTCAATTAACAACCCAAAGATTAACATAGCGAATTAGCAGAGCTCCTGATAATTCAAATGTTACATGCTGATAACATGCGTAGCACCACTTTAGAGTTATGCACAGTAACTCATAAAGAATAGAAACATTACAACTAAGGCACACTCTAAATGTCCAAACCCTTGCTAGCAAGTGGATTCTGACTCATAATAAATCAGGATTTTCAAGACTGCAATCCTTACAGAAACAAAAAGTGTATTCTGTCGTAGGTGAAACTCTATATTAGTCTTTGAATATATTCCACAAGATATTCTTGTTCAATGTATAGGAAACATGTACTTTTCTTAGAATTTTCTTATTGGATGGTATCATATCCTGGCCATAACCATCTGAAAATATTGTTGTCCTTACTATGCTGAGTTTTTTTTTTTTTTTTTAATGAAAATTGCTGTAGTAATGATATCAAAAATCTATGTAAAGAAGCCCCACCCCTTTCTGGCAGTATATAAAGGCCCTGGAAGCTCAGATGATATTCAGACTTCAGAATCATCCTCCTACACTTCAACTAAAACTTCACATTTGCACACCATGTGCTGCAACTACTATGGTGGCTATGGCTCAGGCTATGGCTGTGGATATGGTTCTGGCTATGGTTGTGGATAAGGAGTTCTGGTAGCATAGTGGTTACAAATCAGGCTGTTATCCTCAAGGTCAGCAGTTCGAAACTACCAGCTGTTCCATGTGAGAAAGATGAGGCTTTCTGCTCCCGTAATGATTTACAGTCTCGGAAGCCCTGTACAGGGTCACTATGAGTCAGAACCGACTCCACGGTACTTAACAACAACAACAAATGGTTGTGGATACGGTTCCCTCTATGGCTGTGGATATGGTTCTGGCTATGGGGGTATGGCTCAGACTGGTTGTGGATACGGTTCTGGCTATGGCTGTGGAAATGGCTCTGGTCTTGGCTGTAGATATGGCTCCCTCTATGGCTGCGGATATGGCTCCTGCTATGAATGTGGCTACAGATGTGGATATGGCTCTGACTATGGCTGCTGTAGCTATCGCCCAATTAGCTACACAAAATACTTTTCTTCTTGCTGTTAGGACATCACTATCAGAGCACCATGTACTTCTGAAATGACCCTTCTATGAGAAATTCAAATTAAAGAAACTCTGTCCAAAATTTCTATCATTGTAAAAATACATACTGTTTCTTAGAATGACAAGGATATGCCCAGATGTTCTATGGCATCATCTATTTACAAATATTAATCTTTACTCCCTTAATCTCTGATTCTCTATTATTGAAGCCTTGACTTTCTCTTGTTGGGAAAAATTTTATTCTCAATAAGCTGATTCTTTGTAAAAATATCTCTGTGTAAATGCTTATGATTTATACCTTTCTTTCTTTTATAGCCTCTATTGTGGCTTTGTGATTCCTAGTGTGATGCTATAAGATAAGTCCTGGACTGTCTAACAGAAAGCTGGCAGTTCACACCCACCCACCACCTCATAAACTCCATACAAGATCACTTTGAATCTGAACTGACTCTGCGACCACAACAATAACAATGGTGGAATTGTAAGGAGTCTTGTTAGTGCTGAGGGACAAGAGTTTTGTACTACTCACCTCAAGGTCCTGCCCAAGAGAAAAACATATAGTTGTATGGCCAATCAACAGTTTATAATTTTGAAGCACTTCATAGGGTCATTATAGTCATAATTGACTCTCTGGCAGAGGGTTTGGATTCTGAATATTATTAATTGACAGAACAATATGTTGGGTGAATCTTATTTTCTTCACTGATACATTTGTTTCTACTAATGACTGTTACACAAGTAATGTCTGCTTTACCTATTTATATTCCACATATTCAGGAATATACAAAACGAAATGCATCCATAGACTCCCTTTAAGCTGAAGACGAGATAGAGAAGAGGAAAGGCTGGTTGGTCTGAAGTATGGTGAGACCTGGGATTCCTAAGCCCATGGACAAGGATATGGCCACAGAGGGCTAGAGCTGAGAGTGGTGTCCACCTGATATGAATTGAGGAGAGAAGCACAAGATGGCCCAAATTGTCAGATAGTACCCATTTGACCTAGTTTTGATGGCATGATGATCAGAACTCGACTAGAGGAAGATAAAACAAAGCAAAAAAACAGTTTTTGATTAAGGAAAAAATGTAAATTACTACAATTTGATGAACTTGACCTATACTTATGGATGTAGTAGCTGAAAATAACAACTATAAAGAAAGGAGTCTTCATATCAAATATCAATCCTATCCCCTCTGTATACAGGGTTAATAGGGATGGCAAGTTTAGGCATTGGCTACATAAAATGAAGGGGAGATAAAGGCACGATGTGACTGACTTACAAGTATTCAAGAGGGAGCTTAGTCTAAGCATATGCGGACAAGGTAGAGTCCCCACTGAATAGGGGGTCTGATGAAAACAGATGTGGATAAGATCCTTATGATTCAATAGTGTGAAATTGTTATCATGACTAATTACGATAGTCACAACTCTACAGGTAGAAGTTTTGTAACAAAAATGAGGGAGTAGTTAATCTTACAGTACATTAACAGAGGACCCTGGGACCATCAAGAGAGTAGAACACAAACAGAACTCAGGATCCTGTTCAGAGAAAGAGCAACACCAGTGATGGGAGCTGAGATGAGAACATGGAAAGAGTGAGCATCTTAGGACTCTGGACTCATGGAAAAACAGGAACTGAGTCCTGGTGGCCAGGAGGCAGGTTTGTAGAATATGACCTTTGGCTGTTTAAATTATTATATATTCTGTGTTTCTGTGTACATCCTCCCCCAAACAACAACAAGAAAAATAAGTAAAAAACAAATCAGGGAATTGAAGCAATTACTGTTGAATGATGATACATGGAGGCAATTGTAATCATTGCAATAAAACAATGGTGTAAATCCGATGTTCTCCAATGTAAACTATCACTCAGTTCAAAATTAAAACTTAAAATAAAAATTAAAAATAAAACTGAAATGCAATCAAATAGCATTTAATAACTGTGTTTTGGGAGTGACATAGAGTCTAATATGGTATGGGAGGGTATGAAAAAGATGATTGATACATATTTAGGAAGTTATGACTAAAAACTGAAGACAAATAAATAGATCAGAGTATTGGGATGTATATGGAATTGAAGAAATTTCCAGGATTATTGAGAAAGTAGAATCAGACTTGATTGATTATCAAAGTGAGTAAAATACTAAGGGAATCATAAGTTAGAAGTGATATCTGCATCAAATAATCTGAAATGGATGTATGTGCAAATATATTTGTTTACATACTTTGAAGAAGTTGATTTAATACACACATTCAAGAAATAACATGAACATATTTTGAATAGGGACCAATGTAAACACTGAGAGCATAGTAGAAAAATAAAATTATAGATACATTATGTGTTCTTACAAACTAGTATGTAGAAATTAAAAGCAACATAAAACAAAACAAAGAAAGAACTATTTTAATAAATCCAGATAGAAAGGATACTTTCGAGAGAGAGAGAGAGAGAGAAAACAACAACACAAAAAACAGATTGATGGGAATGGAATAAGGTTGAAGAATAGAGCTAGAAGGCAGAGAGGCACTTTGACATTATGAGTTGAATTGAGATTTGATAAGAAAATGATTCCAGTTTCAATGAATGACTTTTGTTGTTGTTTTTAGGTTCTGTCAAGTCAGTTCTGATTGATAGTCAACCTTGTGGATAACACAATGAAACTCTGCCAGGTCCTGTATCATCTTCACAATTGCTATACTTGTGGTTCTATCTAATTGGGGGATTTCCTCTATCTCCTTAACCCTCTACTTTATCAATCCTCATGCTCTTCTCCAGGGACTGGTCCCTTCAGATAACATTTTGTGAGCACGAGAGAAATCTCACCATTCTGGCCTTTAAGGAACATTGTGCCTGTACTTCTTCCAAAAAGATTTATTTGTTCTTCTGACAGTCCATGGCAGTTTTAATAATCTTCTCCAACATCATAAATAAATGCATCAATTTTTCTATGGGCTTCCATGGTCACATGAATATGAGGTTATTTATTGAAAATTCTATGGCTAGGAACAGGAGCACCTTAGTTCTTAAACTGTCATCTTTGCTTTACAACACTTTAAAGAAATCTTGTGCAGCAGATTTGCATAATGCATTACGTTGTTTGATATCTTGACTGATGCTTTCATGACTGTTGCTAGTTGATCTGACACAATGAAGTCACTGACAACTTCAATCTTTATTCCATTTATCTTGATATTATTTATTGTTCCTGTGGTGAGACTTTTTGTTTTCATACAATACATTCACTTACAACTCATACTATAGGCTGTGGTCTTTGATATTCGTTAGCAAGTTTTTGAAGTCTTCTTCACTTTCAGCTAGCAAGGTTGTATCTGTATATCACAGGTTGTTAATGAGTTTTCCTCCAATCAAGACCTATGTTCCTCTTCATATAATCCACTTTCTCAGATTATTTGCTCAGCATAGAAATTGAATAAATATGATGAAAACATACAATATTCATGCACAATTTTTGAATTTAAACCAGTCAATGTCACTTTGTTCTGTTCGAAAGGCTGTCTCTTGGTCTTGTACAAGCTCCTCATGTGCACAATTAAGTGTTTCTGGAATACTCATTCTTAATACTACTCATGAATTGTCATGATCTGCACAGTTGAAAGCCTTTGTATAGTCAGTAAAGCCCACGTGAACATCTTTCTGGTATTCCCTACTTTCAGCCAAGATCCATATGACATCAACAATGATATCCTTCATTCCACATCCTCATCTAAATCTTGTTTAAACTTCTGGCAATTTCATGTTGAAGTTTACATTGTAGCCAGTTTTGAATGATCTTAGGCAAAATTTTACATCCATGTAATATTAATGCCATTGTCTGCTGATTTCCACATTCATTTGAGTCAAATATCTTTGGAATTGACATAAATATGGATCTTTTCCAATCAATTGTCCGTGTAACTCTCTTCCATATTTCTTAGGCTAGATAAGTGAGTGTGTCTAGTGCTACATCAGTTTGTTGAAATATTTCAAATTGTATTTCTTCAAGTCCTGTATCCTTGTTCTTTGCCTATGCCTTCAGTAAACCTTATACTTGTTTCTTCAATAGCATTGGCTCTTGATCATATGCTACACTTGAAATGGGAGAACCTCACTGTATTAAATGCACAGAAACTCCAATTACTACATATGTGATATGAAACGGTAGCAAAGCTTCATATCATCTGTCAAAACAAAGTCAGGGACAAACTGTGGAAGAACTGTCAGTTGCTTATGTGCAAGTTCAGGCTGAAGCCACTCATATGCAAGTTCAGGGTGAAGCTGAAGAAAATTAATACAAGTCCATGAGAGCCAAAATAAGACTTTGAACATATCCTACCTGAATTTAAGGATAATCTCAAGAACACATTTGATGCATTGGACTCTAATGAGGAAAGAACAGAGAGTTGTGGGATGACATAAAAAGATTATACAGAAAGAAAGCAAAAGATCATATGACTACAAGAAAGGAATGTCCATCAATGGAAGAGTGGATAAACAAACTTTGGTACATGCACACAATGGCATACTATGCTATCTTGAATAATAACAATGTAGCTTCAAAACACTCAACAACATGGATGAACTTTGATGACATTATACTGAGTGAAAATAGCCAGCCATAAAAGGATAAGTATTGCATAAGATAATT